AAAGTTATCAACTTTTAAAATACATTTATAATTCAATAGTTTATTGAAGGAAACAAATCAAAATTCAGGGATATATTAGTCACTTAGTGTCTCACTATGTAAAATTACAAAAAATTTAAGGGTTATATTAGTAAAAGTGATATTAAAATATCAAGTTAGCTAAATAATATTTATGGAATACCCGAACCTAGATGATTAATTATTAATATATCAATATTATTCATCTAAACCTAATTACGAAGCATGATTCTTCGCCAAATAGGATTCCGAAACACCAGAAGCAGCCACGTAGGCTCAGCGCATTCGAGAATTATATATAGGGAGAATTTTTTAACCATTCTATCATGATACTAAATATTAGAATTAACTAATTACTTTTAGATATTAAATGGTATATGAAAGTTACATAATTTGTAAACAAGATATAAAACATAATTTGTAATATATTATATATTCTAATACTTATATAAAAAAAAAAACGACCTAATTATCTTTGTTATCTTTTCATTTGGCTTGAAGTTTGAACAAATTGATTTTTCATGATTTATTATGTGTTATGTATATTTTACAATAATTATGTTGTATTTACTTTTAGTGTCCTTATTTTACATCAAACTTGAAAATTATTTGCATTGAACAAAAAAACAACAAAAATAAAAGTCGAGCTTTCACTAATTACTTTAGGGAGATGCTACAATCCCGTTAAGGAACCATTCTGTCAAAGTTTGTAACAGTTAAATCTACATGTAACCGTCTAGATAATTGTTTTAACGATTATAAACCTCGACGGTCGTCTAGATAGTTGTTTTAACGGTTACAAACCTCGACGGAACGAGACGAGCATTTCTCTTTACTTTAAGTCAACCAAATCATTTTAAATTTTTAATCAATAAAGAGATCCATCATTCAACCCATCTTTTTGCTCCCTTCTACCTTTCCTTCATCTTTTTCATTGAATTTTTTATGAAAAAACTAAAAAAACAAGTGGTGGACAAAAAATAAAATCTAGGTGGACAAGAATCAAAAGCACGTATTTACAAAATATATTTTTTTAATGTTTTTTTGTAAAACATATTTTGTAAATACGTTTTCTTTTGTAAAAGATTTTTGTAAAACATACTCCATCCTATTTTTTTTTAAATGTCATTCTAGGTTTTTCAACTATTTGCCAAATAAATGTCGTTTTGGATCTTTTGTACATATTTTTCCATTATTACCCTCATTTAGCCAATAAATGCATTACGTCTTTTCATATTCACTCTTCACTTTTTTTCTCAAAACATTCATCTCTATTTTCATTAAATAAGGTTATTATTGACAAAAAAAAAATATTCTTAATTAGTGTGCAACTTTTCAAAACGACATATATTAAAAATAGGAGGTAGTATTCCTTAAATACGTTTTACAATTAAATTGTAAAGAAAACTTATTTAGTGAATACGTTTTTTTTTTTTTTTTTTTT